AAATAAAATAAATAACTGAGATTAAACAAAGAGTTGTAGAGAGAGAAACAAGAGAGAAAATAATACTAAGAGTTTAATTAAGGGAGAGAGAGAAAAGTCAGAGAGATAAAGAGAGAAGAAAAACTAAACTAAAAAAAGAAAACTAAAAACTAAAACTAACTAAAAAAACAAAACTAAACTAAAGCTACCAACCTACGTACTACTACCCCTTTTATAAGAAAAGTCAAAGGACTTTTATTCCCACTCAAACTCCTCACCAAACAAATTCCTTCAGCAAATAAAGACGTGTTCAGCGAAGTAAGGCCCAAGGATTTGTAGGCCCAATATCTTAAATAGCCTAAGTGAGTCGCTGATTATATCTGCCCGATCGGGCCATGCCTCCCCCGATCGGGCCCGGTTAGCTTGGGCTGCAAGCTGGGCTTCAAAGCTCTACCTCCCTTTTGTTCTTGGACTTGGTCTTTTAGAGCTCATTAGCCCAAATTCATTCACTTGTTTGATCCGTGATATAAGAACTTGTAAAATCTTGGACCTTCTCTTGTATCAAGCCCTTAATCACCGGATTAAATTCTCTAACTCGGCCTTGGGCTTAAAATATACGGTCATAAGATACGATCCGACTCTAATATTTTCGTAGTGGCTCAATAAGCTCAGGAATTATCGTAATTCTGCAAATTCCTACAAAATAATACCAACTCTACAAAAACACTAGAAAACGTATATTAGTAATAAAAATAGCTCCGTAGAGCTCAAATAAGCAAAAATATGATCGTGGGACGGGGAATAAAAATATATATAAAATAGACTTATCATGTTGCTTTTGGCTATCATCCAGGACTGTTTCCTAAGCTCAAGACTTCCCCCAAACACACCTCTAAAATTGTAGTACACATGTCTTGCACACACCCTTGTTTCTGCTTGAGGGAAAACTTCAGCCACTACCCCAACTAATCCTTTTTGCTAATCAGACATAATTTTGTACCCTGTACCTTCAAGACTACCTAAGTCAGTTTTTAAAAGGCTCGAAAACCAGCTTCAAGTGTCTGCACTCTCAACCCTCACCACTGCCCAAACTATTGGGAACATTTGGTTGTTCCCATCTCTCCCAACTGCTACCAAAAGCTGGCCCCCATAAGGTCCTTTAAAAAAACACCCATCCAGTGAAATAAATGGCCTACAACCACTTAAAGAACCTTTCCTTAAAGCTTCAAAGCAAATGTACAGCCTATCAAACACTTGACCATTCAATTTCAACTTCACAGTGTTCCCCCTGTTACTTCCCAACATATCTTGTGCATACCTTGGAAACAGACCATATTGTTCCTTATACTCACCAAGTATACGACCTTGCCCTCTCTTCCTAGATTTAAAAGCCATGTATTTAGTAATTCTGATACCCTAATCTAACCAAACTCAATCCATTATATCATGCAACCTCATGTAGGGGTTTACTTTAAACTGATTCTGGTAGGTGTTAGCAAGCCATGAAGAAGACATTGTCTTCACCTTGTGAGTTCTACCACATGTATGCTCCCTAACATATGATTAAACAAAAAAATAATTCTTGTCTTTAGTCCATGAAGCCCAAATCCTACATGGGCATCCTTTACTCTTGTGCTCACACTCAACCCCCACTCTACTCTTATTATTCTTACTGAAAGGCATGTTCCTACCTTGAGACACACATAAGTGCCTTAGGGCCATTTTAAATGCAGTTGGGTTCACAAATTTTTGTCCAAGGTAGGAGAATTAATGTGTTTGGATTCACTTTGTTCATTGTGGTTGGATTCACTCCACTATACTTGTCTTAGCGGAACAAGATATCCACAATCAGCTTCATCATCTGATTCCACAGGGCTGTCAAGGTCATTCAATCTCTCAAAATCACTTCTAACATCAACAACACCTTTAGATGCAACAACCTTTTTCAACATCTCTACCTCCTCTTTATAGGATTTATCATTTCTTTCATAGCTTCTTCATCCTCCTCATCGGTAACTTCTGTGTCATAGTCTATATATGGTTCATTGTGCCTAAGAATATGGTAACCATCACTAAATGGATCAAAATCACACCCCCCTTGAAGTAACCCCATTAATCCACTCCTTTTCCCCATGTTATGAATCACAAATCTACTGGTTTCTTGATGTTCAGTGTATATGTGTATGAGTTTGTATTCCATGAGTAAAGCCAAGAAAGGATCACATATGTTGCTTTCAAATCCCAAATATCTGATGCCACTATTAAAATCCTTCCTAGGATCAAAGAAATGGACCTTAACAATGTCATCATATACCCCAACCTAACAATTAACTCCTTCACATAGGCTCCATCAACATTTTCAGGTATATTATCAAACACATTAATTCTCCCACCCAAATATGAAGATTGACTACCAAGCTGCCAATACCCACCATGATGAACAACCAAATAAGCATTCAACTCCATAAACAATCTAAGATGCACACAATTATAAAACAACATATAAATGACAGTGCTCAACATAAATAATGAAAGAGATTAATTAATAACAAACTGCATTTTCATAGATATATAATAATTTTCAATCCTTACAAAAGTGTTGTGATTGATACGACAATGTGTTACAACTTCCAATCACATTGTCATCTACAATCACAACCAATGCAATTCAAAAGAGTACGAATCATTTCCTACAATGCACAAAAAACTTCCCTAATCTGCAGTGATTCATAAGGCCAGTTTCCAAAAACACATCATGGCCAATATCCTAACATTGTTACCAAAAAACTACACCTACCCCTACTCCAACCAATACCCCAACCCCTTCTCAATAGTCTTCTTCCCCAAACAACAAGGGAAATCCCATCAAAGTAAGCCCACCACTCCCCATTCATCCCAAGCCATAATTCAGAACCATCACCATCAACTAGTGACTCCAAGGCCCACTTCTTGGTGGTAGTTTCCTGGTTGACTATAGAAGGACAATACTCCTCTTGTACCACATCCTCCTCCAATCCTTGCACATCAGTTTCACTTGCTTCCCAGCCTAGTCATTAAGTCTTGGAAACACATTCTTGCACATTATCTCCTCCATGGACAACACAGGGTGGGATTCATCAAGGCCATGTCGTGCAATCCTTCTCCAACCCCTGCACACTCTAGTTATACACTCACTGTCCTTGGGGTCTCTCAGACGAGAGAAAACTTCCACAACTAACACGTCAGACAAGGATAACAGTGGTTGAAGTTCATGAAGTTTGGCCATGGGTAATCCTAAGTAATAAAAACCAAGTGTGAGTGACTATACAAACAATTCAAACACCCCTGTTATTTACACAACTTAAACAGATTTTCTAGGGTTTCAAATCAACATCAAAGTCATAATTCAATTTCATTTGTATCATCTACTAACAAAACACAAACAAACAACTTAAATGTAAACCAAAATCCACAAAATTGACTACTAAATTCAACTAATCATCAAACAACGAGTAAACCCTAACAACACCCATATAATGATCATCACAATTTCGAAAAAAAAGAAGCGCACTTAGAGACTAAGCAATGTACCTTGCAGAATACTTCAAATTGACCCCAAAACGACAATCAAAGTGATGATTCGCCTTCTTTGAAGCTTTAAAAATGGAGTGCTTCTCTTCTGAAACAGAGGAAAGGATATGAAAGGGCGCAACCTTTTTGGTGAGAAATGATTTTTGTAAATACTGAATTAACTATGGATCACTGATTTAGCGCGCTTTCCCACGAATGTAACCTCAGTTAAACCTTACTAAGGTTAATTCTAAATCATTTTACCTTAGTAACCTTCAACAACTTGTGATTGGTCCATGTGTCCCACTTACCCTTAATGTTAATTGTTTTACTGAAACGTGCAGAAGAAGCTTCCCTATTGATATTCTTCGCCACGTCATAAGGTTTCACGTTTGAAAGCCAAGTCATCAAACGTTTCCCTCAAGTTTGGTGTTTAATTGCCAAATAAGCAAACGTTTCCTTCAAGTTTGGTCCACTCAGCAATTGGACCACCCTTAGTGGTGGTTGAGTAGGGGTTTAAGATCCGGATTTGGAATTGGTTGGAACCGGGTCCTAAAATTTGGAATCGGAATTGGAATTGGTTCAACCGGGTCCTAAAATTTAGGAATTGGTATTGGAACCACCTGGTACCGGTTCCGGTTCCGGCTACCCACTTATGTATGAAATTGTTAATATATAATACAAATTATAATTCTTATTTTAGTTAAGCTCATTTTTAGTGTTTAATACTTATATTTATATATGCATTAAGCTATTTGTATTTATGTTGGGTATTAATAATACTTTTTTAATTTACAAATTAGATACATTCAACATATTTTTATTATTTAAAATTTATTTAGTTTAGCATATATTAGGTGACCGGGTACCCAATCGGTTCCGGTTTCAAAAAGTTGAGAATTGGAATTAGAATTGGTTATAACCAGGTCCTTAATTTATTACCCGGAATTGGAACCACCGGGTCCAATTCCGGTTTTGGACTCGTTGGTTCCTAACCGGTTCCGGTTTCAATTCCGGGTACCCGGAATTTTTGCTCACCCCTATGGTTGAGGCCTTGAGGGACTAAATTCAACCATTTGAAACTAAAAGGACTAAATCCAAACAAACCCCAAACATAAAGGACTAATCTTATACTTTACTTGTTATTTAATCTCATAAAAGTTTGACATTTATGTCCTAAAATATTTGTTTACATATTTGACTCATTAATGCTATTTCTCCCTCCGTTTTTAAATACTTGCTCCACTTTCCTTTTACGGTCGTTTTTAAATACTTGCTCAATTTCTTATTTGAAAAACTTTTATAATATTTAAATCATGTATTTTGACAAATGAGACCTAATTTTATTAGTTTTAGATTCTCTCTGCCTTAATTTACCTTCCACTAACCCTACTACCTTATTAGATCAAACTGAAAGAGGTCCTTGAACATAGCCAACTATAACGCGAATGTCAACCTTGACCTCCACCTCCTCCTAATTCCCAAACTTTGGCAAGTTTAGTGTTGCATTTTTACTTTACAAATCTCCCATTTCTCATTTTCTCTCCTCCTTGGTACGCACCTCTCCGTCCACCACCCAACCCTTCAATTTCTCTCACCGTCAAAGGCGGAAATCCAAATAATCTCGAAGATGTTGAGGGTGGCAGCAAGGCGCCTCTCTTCTCTCTCCTCTTCTTCATGGCGTTCCGTACTTTCCCACCGTCATCAATCTTCTCGTTCCTTCTTCAATCTCTCACCCCGCTCTTCGTCAACTCCGTTCAATCATATTTCTTCATCAGGTCCTTTCTCTTTCTTCATCCATTTTGCAATTACTATTAGTTTTGATTTTATTTTTCTGGGAATTTTTTTGATTTAATTTTGAGTTTATTGGAATTCTGGGTTTAAACATTGAAAATGATTTTCGGGATTTTCTGGGTTTTTTTATTGATCTGTTGTAATTTATTTTCTTTTTCATTTGAATTTCTAGGTTGGTTTTGGTTTTTGAGCACCTGGTTTTAATTTTTATGTTGTTTGATGAATCTGATTTAGTGTGAAAATTACAGAATTCTAACTATGTTATTTAACTTGAATGATGCAAATTTTTAGGATCAATGGTAAAGTTTTGTTGATCTGTTAATCATAGATGATTGGCACAAAGTGCAAAATTCTTAGTGTAACTTTTTAAAAATCTAGTTTTAAGATAAAGTTCAAATTAGTGCACTAAACTTATTTTGTTATGTAAGGTAAGTTTTTGATTGGATTATTCGTTTTTTTGTTGGGAGTTGTAATGTTGAAACAATCATTCTAGCCCTCTGAAATGGTTCTGCTCCGTAAAGTATTTCAACCTCGGCCACCCCACATCATTTAATTATTATGAATAAAGGAATATATTTAAGAAGCTTGTGGTTTAGTATAAATGTTATAGAGTGATGAACATTGAAGGCAATTATGGTTTTTACATATTCAATCTTTCATCATGTAGACTCTTGGACTCTTGGATTGATATCTTCATTTCTTGATGTACTCATTGCCAATGTAATTATTTTTAGTAATGGGAACTTCTATGAATTTAGTTTCCTCAATGTCCTTATGACGTACTCATTGCCAATGTAATTTTTTTTTAGTAATGGGAACTTCTATGAATTTAGTTTCCTCAATGTCCTCGGAATACTTTTTAATAGCATAAAAAGACTTTAACATGATTACTTTGTAAAGGAAAATCATGGAATGGTAGGGAACAAGAAGTCGTTTTTTTGTTAATCATGGAACGGTAGGGAACAAGAAGTCGTTTTTTTTTGTTTCAATTTGGTCAACATGTTTCATTTGTCTCGCTTGCCAATGCATCATTTTAACCTTAAATATATCTAATGATCAATAAGAAAAAACTAAAAACATTGTAATACACCAAAAAAAGGTTATAGTTTAAAAATAAACATTGAAATAAATCTAACAAGTTTCCACATGTTGATGATTTTTCTTATCAATAAATCACAAAAGTTAGCCAAACTAGAATTTTGAATGATGTCAAAAGTCAAAATGTATCAACTAATTTATTATGGATGAAGTATTTATGAAAGATGTATTACACCCATCAAGCTGAAGTTGATTGAGGGACTATACAGTTTGTTGTGTTAAATAAGTCGAAATGTTATGTACAACAGTGCTGTATATACTTGTAAAGTAGTCATTTAGTTGTAAGATCTTGTATTGTATGTCTGTAATCTTTACTAGAACATTAATTAATACTCTATGTGATTCTTGGACTGTCCACTGTCTCTGCGGATGATGGTTGCTGACTTAATGGTATAAGGGTGTCCCAGAATTGGGATAGTAAACATTGCCCTGCTCCATTGCTTATTTTCCCATTTTAGAAATACCTAGCCCATACTTCAATTTGCATGCTTATGTTGCAAGGTTGGGGCTTCATTCTAAGGATTGAATTACATATTGACAAGCATATAGTCAAATCAAGCCTTTTTTGGAACCGTGTGAGAAGAATTTATGGCTTCTATACTTTCACTTTTCAGGCTTCAACTAGCTAGATTGTTCTACTTTTCTATGCTGTGTCATCTCCATATCTATCCCCAAACATGCTCTTTACTGCCTTGTTGCAGTACACAGGTTCTGGTAACAGTAGCATCCTGTCTTTGTTATCGGACACAGAAAGCTTACCGCAGTTAGGAGGCAATGTAGGATTTGTGCATTTTGTTGCCATTCATTGCATAGTGTCACTGTCACATTAAACTTGATTCTTATAGTAAGCTTCTGTGATATGGTACTTTCCATTTCTCTAAGCTGCTACTCGTTTGCTGCTTATGTTCCTTACTGTTGAGATCTTGCTATGCTATTCTGGTGCCTCAGCAAGATGGACACTGGGATTATTTTTATCTGTACAGCATTGGATATTAATATTGTTTTTGGGTTTTGATCCTTTTGTATTTTAAAGAGCTTTGGCGAAAAACTATTAGTTTTCTTGCTGGGCCTTGGGGAATGTACTTATATTTTGTTTCTTCTTCAAATGAAGAAAGTTATCATCTTATCTGGGTTGTGTCAGTGGATTTACTGATGTAGGAAGGTATTGAAAGAACTTTATTGTCAAAAAAGAAATGATACTTTTTATTATGTAAAGAAAGAAGCAAGGTCATTGGTTAATACGATAGTTTCGAATTTGGTGACCCTTTGCTGTTTCCATTGCAAGACTTCTGATTCCTAGTCTTTTTTGCTGCGCATAGTCCTCAGATGAATCCATGATAACTGTCTCAGGATGAATCCATGATAACTACATTTATTTGATGCAATTCCTTTCCTTTTGGTTCTTTTTAATCTTATATGTTATGGACAGATTGCAGGTCCCCCTTTGGGTTGGCATTTGGAAGCATCCGTTCTTTCAGTAAAGATGTGGCTCCCTTGCCTGACATAAAAGATTCAGAAATAAAAGCTGTGTTCAAGGACTTCATGGCTGCAGACTGGGGGGAACTCCCACCTTCTCTCATCAAGGATGCATTAAAAGTCTTATCAGAAGGTTCTGATGACAAAGTTGGCAAGGAGGCCTTGAAAAGCATATTCCGTGCAGCTGAGGCATCTGAAGAGTTCATCGGCAGTCTTGAGACCTTCAAAATGGCAATTGATGACCTTGTTGGAATGAGTGGCGAGGTATTATGGGACATAATCAAATACAGGCTTATTATAAGTAGAGTTTTCTGTCTTATTATGCCCATTTTATTGTGTAGAATGTGAAGCCTCTTCCAGAACACTATGCTCAGGCTTTGAAGTCAGCTTATGATCGCTATAGTAAGTATCTGGATTCATTTGGACCTGATGAAGTCTATCTGAAGAAGAAAGTAGAGTCAGAGTTGGGAAGGAGGATGATTCATTTAAAGATGAGGTGCGGTGGTCTTGATTCTCAATGGGGAAAGGTATGAAAAGCATTTTATCTTATTGTCTATTCCTGGATTTTAAAATAATATGTAGGATATCTAGAAGTGACATTTATTTTGTGTGTTCCACTGTGTGAACTGGTTAGTAAAGCCAAAGTACATCTGAAATATTGAAGTGTGGCTTAATAGTTGTGGGCACAATTAATTAGTCTTATAATTGCTAAAAAGATATCAAAATAATCGCCTGAGATATGTTAATTGAAAAAATAGGTCAAGGAAAATCCTCCAGTTAGAGAGATGGATTCTTGGTGTGAGTTTGGAGACTTTTACTTTATGACTATTATGCTTAACCAGGTTAAGTCCCGTGTCATGCACGGTAATTTTTAATACTTAATATTTATCATTAGTTTAACACTATTATTTAATTATAAAAAATTATACCTAATTGCAAAATAGGATGAAAGTTCTGTAATTACAAAAAAAAATTTAAAAATTTATCACACTAAAAAAACAGAGAGAATAATATATGCATGACTAATAAAAATAACTATGAATTACATTACAAAGTTATAGATAGCAAACTATTATAGTATTATTACATATTATTGTATAAAAAAATAAATAGGAAATGAAATATTATTGCATAGTTTGTATTAAAAGCTTATTTAAGAAGCTGTGGCCCAAAAAAAATAAAAATAAAAATAAAAACTTTTGGAGGGAAAATTTTTAATCAGGAGATGACATGTGTCATTCCTGGTTTCGCCTTTAGTATAAAGTTATAGATAGATTGCGTGTGTCTAGTTTCTATAGCTAGGAGCTAACGTTCAGGCTGTGACTTCAGAGTATAATAATAATTATGCTTTCATATAATAATGATGTAAGTGATACAAGATATGCTGGGAACTTATTAAGCTAGAAGTATCTGAGAATGATTGTGCCAAAAAGAAACTTTTTCCAATTCATTTAGGTTTTTTAACTCCTCTTTTTCAACCTCATAATTGATATTTGAATATCGTATTATGATGAAATTGATGTGTAATTGACTACAAGGCTCTGTATGTTTTAATAAAAACATTTTCATAGAAAATTATTATACTACATTTCTGCAAAAAAATTTGGCTTTTTTTTATTGAAGGGTGGAAAACGATTTTCCCATTTGTGGAAATTACTTTTTAAGAGAAGGAAAACCATTTCCTTTAGGAGAGGTATGCCACATTTTTCTATTCCCTCCTCACTTCTCTACTTTCTTTCATCTATCCTCCCCCTCCCTTTCATCTACATTTTCCTTATTCTCAATTAGCTTTCCTATTATCAGACAAAGGAAAGTGCTTTTAACCATTATGTTTTGTACTGATTTTTTTTATTTAATTATTTTTTTTTCTTTGGAAAATGATTTTCCATTAAAAATATTTTCTGTCAAAACAAACAGAACGTAAATGGGGGAAAAGGAGTTTGTTGTTCAAACCCAATTTTTTTGATGTTGGAAATTTGTATGAAATTCTTTACTTGACCATAAATTCACATCTTAGACCTGATATAGTAGGTGTGGATACCGGAAAATGTTCAACTATTTGATAAAGATTTCTGTTGAAAGGTTGAAGAGCCTTAACAAAGGACAGATTTCTGTTATCCCTCTCTACAATAACTTTTATGTACACTGCAAATTCAGTATTATTCAACTATACTTTTCTTTCTCACTTGTAGGTCACAGTCCTTGGCACTTCTGGAATATCCGGTTCATATGTTGAGCAAAGAGCACCATGATAACAAAATTTATGTTGAGGAATGGATTGTATTCATCCTAGATAGAAAATCTCTGTTGGAGCTGCATAGCATTTTGAATAAAGAGCTGAAAGATTGTCTAGATGAAAAACTAAGCATCTTAAACTTGAAGTTTCTTGTCTCATGTTGCGATAGAAATGTTATTGCGAATGAATTTGTAGAAATTTACCGATGTAATTTACAAAGATCGGTCATTTCCTTTCTTTTTGATTTAACAAAAGAGGGTGCAACACTTTCGCGATTTTCCTTTGATATGGATCATTTTATTTTGGTTGTGTGCATCATTGCTCCCCCATACCACCCTCTTCTATATAGGTTAGAAATAAATGCTTGTTTAGTTTACTTTATTTTTGCTTATCTAATTTGGTCTGCTGATTGTTTAATTTGATCAAACTTTGACCTTATGTATATGATAATCTGTAAACAAGAAATATATTAAGTTGGGTTTTGTTAGATTCGTATTAATGTGTATTTTATTACTACCTCTGTTAACTTTTATTTGCAATTTTGAGGTATTGTTTGTGAGATATAAAATATTCCAAAGTTGCAAATAAAAGTTAACGGAGGTAGTATATAATTTTATTTTTTTAAAAAAAAATCATTTTGTAATATAGATATTTAACAATAAAAAATCACACATAAAATGATCTAGTTTTTTTTCATTATTGTTGTTCATTGAGTTAATACTACTTGAAAGTACTAAAGTTTGCAAAAAGTTTCACTGAAGGTATTGAAGTTACAAAAGTTTCAAATAGAGTACTCAAAACTACCTTACATCCTCTTCAATGGTGAGACTCAAGTAAGTATTTTTAGGAGAGAGATAGTATTTATTGCAAAGTATACTAATAAGTTGGTATCCAAACTCTAAAAGAAAGTTGCTAAGTTTACATACTCAACCATAAAGTATACTAATAAGTTGGTATACCAATAAGTATACCAACTCCAAAAGAAATTTGTTAAGTTTAGATACTTAACTTTGAGTTTCATTTGACAAAAAGTGTGACCTTTATCAATGTTATAATATATTTTGTAACTTATTTAAGTTTTATTATTTTTGTTTTTTTTTTAAAAAAAAGTACAATATGAATTTAGTGGGCCATAAATTGAAAGTGACATTAGTATTCTTTAGAGAGTTTTACCATTGGGGAATTAGACTTTACATGAGTTGATAAATTGAGAAGTAGGTTGGGTATCACCATTAGAGGTAGAAACAATTCATTTGTATTTCAATACTCAAACTTGAGTTTCACCATTAGAATTGGTCTTTATATATATCAAATTTTGTGAAAAACTACCTTATAAATAAAGTGTTGTAAGAAACTACCTTATAAAAACTAAATGTTGTAAGTTGCTACTATTTAAAGAAAAAAAGGGGGGAAATTAGGGGTTATAACTTAGAAGGGGGTTATGGAGATATTGGGTAAGAATAGGAGAAAAAAAAATTTAAATAGGTCTTTTTTAAAAATAATAAAATTGATTCATAAATAAGTCATACGACATCTACAAATAGATTTAGATTTAACAAATACATAATGATTGATTAAAATAAAAACATACGTAAGCAAAGCAACGATCATTGTTGCAAATCGTACATTCTTTATACCCTCTTTCATATCGTTGTGAATTACAACCTTCTTCGGCGAGGGGGTCTATCGATGTGTTGTAGCTATGCAGAAAATTTCCGTCTGATTCGGTAGATTGTTGTTGAAATATCAACCTCTTTTTAAATCCCGCACAAAATTTTACCCATGAAACAACTCTATAGCAATCCATGAAATAAAAAAGCAAATCCTCCCTCAAAAGAGAGGAAAAATCCGGTTTTTCGAATGAGCCAAATCCTCCTAAAGAATAAGAAAAACCCTGTCTTTTGAGGGAGAAATATTCCTCCTAGAAAAGGAAATGTTATTATAAACCTAAAACAAGAGAAAAAAAACACACAAAAACAACGATTGGGGCTTTCCACCGGTAAAAACCAATGGAAGCCCCTTCAAAATTCAACAATGGGAGTTAGGGTTTTAAAGAGAGAAGAGAGGAGAGAGAGGCTTGAAAATGGGTCATTTAACGTCCCTTATTCAATGTAATAATTTGACAAAAGGTAGCTTCTTACAACACTAAGGGGGAGTTTGGTTTACATAATTAAGGTATAAGGTATGAGTTTAAAATGGTTTAAACTCATAGCTTATGTTTGTTTTATGATCTTAAGGGGGGAGGTGGGTTTGACTAATTCCCATATTTTTAGGTATCAAATTTAAAAAAAATAAATGCATTCCAAAAGCATACCAAACATATGGTATTAAGAATCAAGTTCCAAACTCATACCACTATAATTTCATTCCTGATTCCAACCCCATACCATTTTGCGAACTAAATGCCCCCTAAGTGTTTTATAGGGTAGTTTCCTACAACATCTAGTGTTTATTAGTTCCTTAAAACATTTTTTTTTCATAAGATAGTTTTTCACAAAAACTAAAATGTATAAAGTAGTTATTCACAAAAAGTCCTAAAATGACATAAACTCCTAATCTAACTTATAACATTTATTTTCACCTAATTTAACTCGTATCTAAAAAGATAAATTAAAACAATTCAATCCAAAAAATTCATTCAACTGGATATAACTCCCACGAAGGCAAAAACACCATCGGCGTCGTCACCGCCGCATCTAACCACCACCATCAATTGCTGCTGCATCTACCACCACCGTCAACGTCGTCGCTACTCATCACCATATTTAATGTCGTCACCTGAGTGTTCCTTTCTTTCCCCCGCTCTCTCTCTCTCTTTTTAAAATTGTTTAGATCTGATGGTTTCAGGGGTGAATGGCTAGTTTGGGGTGGTTTTGATGTGGTTCTAGGTGAGTACGAGTAGTTTTGGGTTAGTTTAGGCTGAGCGTCAGTGGTTTTGGGGGTTGAGTGAAGGTGGTTGTTTTGGGGGCTGAGTGAGGGTGGTTGTTTTGGGGTGGTTTATGTTGAGTGTTGGTGGTTTTAGGTGATTCGACTGAGAGGGACTTGGTTTCAGTGTGGTTTGAGTTGAGAGGAGGTGGTTTCGGTGTCGTTGGGGTTGAGAGAGGGTGATTTTGGGTCTATTCGGCCTAAGAGGGGGTGGTTTTAGGATTGTTCGAGGTGCGTGTGGGTGGTTTCTAGGTGGTTCGGGGTGAGAGGGGGTGGTTTCAGGCAGGCGTTTGGCGGTTTTGGTGTGGATGATGTGGGCTGACAGTTGTGGCTGCTATTGGTGGTGCCGGAGTGGTGGTGTTCAATTTATTAATTAAATTCACTTTTTCTCTCCTACCTTTAATTATCTACCAAAATTATTATTGAAGAACACCAAACATTAGTATGTACCCTTTTTTTTTCCCTGCAAATGTTAACTTGTTTTAGTAAGTCACTTATGGTTGATTACTCTATTTGAAACTTTTGTAACTTCTAAACCTTCGGTGAAACTTTTTGCAAACTTTAGTGCTCCCAATTAGTAGTATTAACTCCTTGTCCATTCTTTCTGTATATGTTGAAAGATGTTCATTAGCAATCTTATAATATGTTCATTAATTATAATACTTGTAATTTCTCACATCAAAAGTTGTTTGCTTGATTTATATTTTAGTGCTTGTTCGTTACCAATATTGAATATTGTTCCATTTAAATTTAATTTGTTCATCATCGTATTGAAAAATGTTTATTTGACTAATAATACTTGTTCATTTCATGTTGAAAGATGTTTATTTAGATTTCAATACTTGTTCATTTTTAACAATTGAATTATGTATCTCCCACTACACAGGTTAAGCAAATAAGAAAGGTGAAAACGACAATATACATATTGAGAATAGATGTGTATCGAGAAAACACACAAACATCATAAGACTATGTATGAATTAAAAGGTATAACATTTCCCTCCCGGTTCTAGGAGATCTCGGGATCGAATCTCACCCCCGCCCTTGTGGCTCTCTAAACACCAAAAAAATAATAAAAGGTATAAACATACAAAAAGGAGAATGATTCCACTTACCAAATGTAACAAAGAATGTTCATTTAACAAGACACATATACATTTAGGATTTAATGGTTCACTTTCATGTTTATGAAACAATTACATTTTTTTTTCTTAGGAATGAAACAATTACATGTAATAGTATAAAAATGTGTTATTATTGTAATTCAATTGGACATTATTTTTTAACATTATTTTATTTAAAAAAATAGAATTATAAGACGTATGTAGGTATTTGCATACATCTTAATATATTACTTACATATAGCTCTTGAAATGAACATTTGATGATACAAAAATGAAAACCTGTTGAAACATGAATAAACAAAATGAACATTTGATGATGTAATACTTTTTATAATAAAAATGATTTGAACACAATAATCCTTATAAATAAATTTGCTGTCATTCTTATTTATAGATAAAATTTTGAAAATATAATTTAGAAAATTTATAAATTTGAACAAAAAAAAACTCCTTGCTATAAAAAGGAACAATCTAATGATACAAAAATGAACATTTACTAGTACATAAATGAATATGTTATAAAAATTTACAGGAAATTTTCAATTGAAAAGGAGAGTGATTGGGGGACGCGCCATGGGGGGTGTGTGGGGGGGGGGGGGCATATAATGTTCCCTACCATGGGGTATTAGGGTGTAGGTAAAAATTTAGCTAATTTTAACTGTATGACATTTTTGGTTTTTGATAATAATAATAATAATAATAATAATAATAATAATATAATAATAATAATAATAATAGTTGTTTATGGTAAAAAATACCCTAGACACTGGACCAATCAGGGCAAACCCATGGGCGGTCCAAGAGTTGATCCTTGGTTAGCCATTTGGCTCATGGGATTCTGTAAGAAAAAATGCATTAGTACATTGTGTTATCTGCTATATATTATTCTAATTTATTTGATAAAAAATACATCCATATTGTAGACACCCATTTGTGTCTCCCCAAAACCAAACCCAGTGATGAGTGCCTTTCACGCCGAATCATAATCGAATGAAACGAAAGTGTGGAAAGGTCTAGTGTTGCGGAGAGTTTTATTTCTTTTCTTTTCTTCTCTCTGTTTTTGAAAACTTTATTTTAAGAAAACAGCCAATCCAGTTTGGTTGGTCCATGATATGGGTCCAATAGTGGTATAGTTAGATGGGGCTTGCAAAGACCTTTCCAACGATATATTATAAGCCTAATTCCGATGAATATTAAGGAATTTATGGCCAATTTACTAAACTGGGCCCGGTTTGAGTTTTAAGTACGGCCCAATGATCTAGGGGA